TTAGATCCTTTTTATCAGGCTAAGGAAGTGTTCTTCTTTTTCTATTTTGTTGAGAACTTTTACCATAAAAGGACAGTGAATTTTATTAAACACTTTTTCACATTCTACTAAGATGAAATATTTCTTCTGTTTTTGTTAATAGAGTGAATTATATTCATTAAAAAATGTTGAACCTTCCTTATATTCTTTGGATAAGCCTTACTTAGTCATGATATATTATCATTTTTTATAATGCTGAATTCAGTTTGCTAATATTTTTTCATAACCATGCTCAACCATGCTCGTGAATTTTAAAATTGTTTCAGTTTATTGTGGTAAAGTGTGAAATTTATCAATTTACCAATGTTTAAGCGTAGGGTTCAGTGGCATTAAATACATTTACACTGCTGTGTAACCATTACCACTATCCATTTCCAGAGCTTTTTTACCATCCCAAACTGAAACTGTACACATTAAATAATAACTTCTCTTCTCTCTTCACATCCCAGACCTTGCAATAATAATTCTACATTCTATCTTTATGACCTTGATTATTCTAGTACCTCAAATAAGTAGAATAATATATATGTCCATTTTTGCATGGCTTATTTTGCTTGGCATAATTGTTAAGATTCATCCATGTTATAGCATGTATTTCCTTCCTTTTTAAGGATTAGTAATATTCTATGGCATGTACACACATTTTGTTTGTCTGTTCATCCATCAATGAACATTTGGGCTGTTTACAGCTTTTGGCTGTGTCAATAATGCTACTATCATTTCTACACAAATATCTGTTTGAGCTTCTGCATTCAGTTATTTGTATATATAACCAGAACTGCTGGATTCTATGTTTAATTTTTTGAGGAACTCCTATACTGTTTTGTACAGCACTGGCACCATTTTATATTCCCACCAGCAATTCACAAGGGTTCCAGTCTCTCCATAGTTTTACCAACACTTATTTTCATTTTTTTGATGATAGCTATCCTGATGGAGATAAAGTGGTACTCATGCATTTTTGCATCTATGTTTATAAGAGACATTGGTCTTTAGTTTTCTTTTTTATAATTGAATTTAAGCATTTTGGACAAATAAGTTAAAAAAAAGAGAGAGAGAGGGAGATGATCCTGAGGTTTCGTGGCTGCAATACTGGGTGTGTAAAACAACAAAGAACCTGAAGAAACAGCAGATTTGAAAGGACGGAGAGGAAGGATTGATACAAAATAAGATTTCATATTGAGAAATTGAGCTCACAAGGATTGTGGGCCATCCTGGTAGAGATTTATAGTTGGAAACTGAGAAAACATGACTAAAGCTTCAGAATAGACTAAGGAGCAAATATAGAAATAATGAAATATCTACTACTTACTGAAGTACATTGTGTGCTTAGAAATTGCCAGCCCAAGTATAGTAGCTAAGTCAAGGAAATGTGTGGCTTTTTCTAGTGAAAAAGTGAAAATTAAGAAAAGGGCAAAAGCAGAACCTTGAAGAACTAAAATTTAAGGATGTGGCAGCAAAGAAACAGCTAATAGAGACTGACATATTAAAAATATAAGACGAGAACCAAGAGGAAACAGTATCATGGAAATCAAACTAGGACACGTTATCGAAAAAGACGGGACTGATTCTCCAATGTTTAACGTAATTCCAATTTTATTTTCTTTTATGCTCAGTCATTGGCCATGTCTATTACTGCAATTATTAGTTATCCAACCTTTTTTTGTCAGGGAATAACTGGAAGTACCAGTACTAGTATATTAGAACTTCCTGTTAGTAATAGTGTAGGGAGTACAATAAAACAAAAAAAGTATAAGCATCCTTTTGGCTAATATAAATATCTCAAATCTAATGTCTTAAATTAAGCCCGTTTCTATTTTACTTGTGAAAAGTAAAGACTGAGATTTTTAAAAAATAACCTCTAAATTGGATATTAGCAACTTGACTCAAAACTATGCCAGGACAAAACAAAACCCTTGATAACAAGCAATTAGGCATTTTAAAGCATTTATTTAGAAAAATCAGAATAACACACTGTATTTACTCACATATATTCCTGTTTGTTATCAGACATTTTCAGCAAACAGACATCTTTAAGCATCTTCATCTGCTTTTATGAAACCTTGAAGTGGCTCCTGCTGCTGTTGACAATCACAGCAGCCTGTTGGGGGTAAAGTATGGGGAAAGAAAAATAATCATGTATTCCTCAAACTTCAGAAATAATAAAACACTTGAGTGGGGAAAATATGCACGTGTGTGGTATCAATGAAGGCCAAATTGTGATATAATTCCATACATGCTCTAAAAGGAAGAATAATGTAAGTACATCACGTATTTATTAACAATTAATGAATCAAATTTTTATATTTTGAAAAGCTATCAGATTCTTGACTTGTGGAATAGCTATTAAACTGATGAAGATGATACTTAAAACTTATAATGGTGAGGTATTTAAACACACATGATCTCAAGAATGAAGTTAAGCATTTAATATCATAAAGAATTTCACAAAATCAGAAGTGTGGACTTGACATAATTATGCTAAAGGTAGGAAGGAAACAAAATATGACTTCTGTGTATAAATGTTCTCAATTCGACAAATACCTTCTGAGTGGCTCCTATCTGCTGTTTATAAGGGATATAGAGATGTATTGTATGGTTCTTGCTCTTAAGCAGTTCATCCTATATAGGGGAAGCTGGCACGTACATCTGTGTAGTAGGGGAAACAATGAGAGCAAGAAGGCATGGAAGATACTGAAGGCTTGAGAGGAAGTAGCAGGTGATCACTTTAAACATTAAAATAGGATTTAACCAATTAAAATAAAGATAAATGGGTGGCGGTGGCAGTGGGAGGAAAGTTAAGTGGAGGAAAGATATATAATAAGCACTGCTTGAGAAAAACAGACCAGGGCAAGGAATCTCCAGGACAATTCATAAATGCATTTGCAAAGAGTGAGGGCACCATTATGCAGTGAAAGGCAAAGGTTCGAAAAAAATGGGCTGGGGACAGATTGAGAAGAGCTTGGATATAGCACTAAGGATTTTAATTTTCAGTATGTATGTTCGAAGGAGCAACTGCAGGTAAGAATCTGGGGTGACATATCCAGAGTGGCTCAAAGGAAGATGACTCTGCTTCCCTGTGAAGAATGGTTTTCAGGGGGAGATAGTACAGCCATATAAGAAGTTTGTATTACGCTGTAAAGTCTGAACAATTTTATTCTTAGTCTCAAGATGTGAGAAAGTAAACCTAGGAAAAACAAATCCCAATGAAAAATTTTTAATCTTGTTTTTTAAACATCACATCAATATATGGCTCCCTTTAAGTATATAACTTAGGATTCTAGAGTGCAATTATTTCATCTTATAAAGAAATGGAACTTCAGAGAGATGAAGGGACTTGATCCTAGTTACACTATTCTTTCAAAAGCCCCAAATAGGACAAAGATTTTTAAATTCCAGGTTCAGTTCAGTCTTTCTTCCACATTACCTGGCATTGACTTATAATAATATATATTTGCTTGGTAATCATCTTTAAAGAGTTCCAGTTTAACTGAGGGAGAAAATAATTGTTTATTTTACTTTCTTTCCAAAGAAATTTTTTTAGCCATCAATTATTAAAATTAAGTATTTTTTCCTAGAGATGTCCTGAATCTCTTTTCCTTAATGGACAAAAATATATGTAATTATATCAATTGTAAATAAATGTGCTTGAAAATTTGAAGATAACTGAACAGCAGATTCTTTCATATTTATGCCACCCTGAATTTGTTTTCTTTTTTTATTAGGATTTGGAGCACTTGAAAAAAACACATTATTTCTCACTAAAAGCAAACTTAAGAAATGCCATCCTTTTAATTAAGAAATGTGATCCCTTTACTTTAATAATTAGATATATATTCTAATTCAAATATGTATAAAAAACTGAGAACTATATATAATTTAAAATAGGTATATTGGCCAGGCTCAGTGGCTCAGTCTGTAATCCCAGCACTTTGGGAGACTGAGGCAAGCGAATTGCCTGAGCCTGCGGGTTCGAGATCATCAGGGCAGCTTGGTGAGACCTCGTCACTTGGAAGGCTGAGGTGAAAAGATCACCAGAGCTTAGCAAGTTGACACTGGGGTGGCTGTGAGCGTGCCACTGCACTCCAGCCTGGGCAACGGAGTGAGACACCAACTCAAAAAAAAAAAAAAAAAAAGTATATGTACTTTTCAGTTGAGAAGAGAAAAAATGTGAAAGCAAAACAAAAGAAACTTAAATGCCAAGTATCATCAATATCGAACTTAAAAGAAATAAAGAGGTGCCACGTGGCGTAGTACTATAACAAGAGAGTGAGACTGGAATTGTTAAATCTATGAGTAAAGACCCCAAATTACTGACATTTCTATTCCTTTTTATTTACTTTGGATTATTTTGGAAAACAAGATGATTCCAAGTTGGCAAAAATAGAGCAAAGCTCCAATATAATTAATGAATATGATTTCACTAGAAAATTATGAATATGATTGCATAAATGTTGGGTATGCTGGATTAGGTCAGATTATGGAGGGTCTTCAATGTTCAAGTTAAAACATGGTGACTCCATCATAAAATTTTTGTTGGAGGCAATTTAGATTCATTTAAAATGTACGAGACACAAAAATGTCATAGAGAAAAATCTGGTTTTGGAAAAGTCAACAGTACTGAACTGTGCTATTGTGACAGTAACATAAGACCTTTCCTTGGTACCTCATTAGTGCACAATAACTGTTAGTTGTAATAAATCATATTAATTAGGAAGTCTATATTTTTATCCTGGCTCTGCTACTAAGTCACTTATGAGCATCAACAGCTCTACTTCTCTGGACCTCAGTTTCCTAGCAAGTAAAATGAGAAGGTTAAATCAGATAATCCCAAGGAATAATTTTGTGTTAAAAATTCTAGTTATTCATGTTGATCCAGATACTAAGGAATAGTGTCAGCACATAAGCAATGTTTTCATCCCAAGTCCCCCAAAGAATAAAGCTAAATGAATTTTCCATTGTTCAGTTTGTGTGTAATTTTTATCCAGTCTTTACTTGGTTTTAAAAATTACAAAACATAAAAAACCAAAATTTCCCCAAAGTGATTCATTACAGAACACTTGGGAATTTAAGCACAAATGGATATTAAATATATTTAACAACTCAATTACAGATTGACAAACATAATGGAAAAAGTAGATTACCTAAAGATATGAAGAGATTAAATTTCACATTCTGCAACTAGAAAAAACAATAAGCTACTGCATATTAGTATATAACATTCAAATAGATTTTAAAGTGTACTTCTCCTTCTTAAAATGGCAGTGATTATACATTAGTGCAACCACAAAGCACTTGTAAACTTTTTTCTGTTCAGCATCATCCACGTCCATCAGAACAAATTCAGCTGGGTTCAGTCCAAGGTCTTTCTTAGGCCGAAGCTTTTTGTGTTTTCCTATTTTAACAGTTACAGCCTTTACCCATAACCACAGCCATCCATCCAGGAATGCCCACTGTCTGAGGTTGGAGAAGCAGGTGGTATGTAGGTGAATCTGAAAGAAACTTTACCTTTCTAAAATAAGAACAGGGATTTGATTCAAAGATTAGAATTTATACTGTTGAGGCAAGATAACAGTTTATACTGTTTAGGCAAGAAGCTCTGTCAAACTGAGTAAGACTCAGTCCACTGACAGTTTTAGTGTGATTTCTAAATTCTCTCTGTCTCTCTAGAGCCCTCAGTGTTAGAAGGGAGATAAGAAAAGAAACATTTCAGAGTTGGCTCACTTCATAGCAGCCTTGCTTTTAAAGTACCACTGAAATCTGGATAGTAACAAAAGATGCTTTATAAAAGGATATAAAGGCTGATTTTTAATAAAAATAAGTTGCAGTTCATACACATTAAGATTCTTAGGAACTAGAGACACATCTGATTTGTAGTGGAATATGTAAGAAGGCAAATGCTCTGTTTTCATCAAGATTCCATCTGCAGCTGTCAGGGAAAGTTATTAACATGTGCAGTGGAGTGCTAACCAATTAACACAGATCTAATGAGATGGCACTGACAGAAGGCAGTTTCTTCCCTTGAAATTCAAATATCTCAACTTGATTTTTTTTTTAATCCTCTTGGCAAAAAAGGTACATCAACTTCCTTCAACACTGGGGAAACTCAAAATGTTTATTCATGAATTTCCATCGCTTCCCTTTCATTTACAATATGTACACTTTAACAATAACAGAAAATTAAATGATCAAACTTCAATAATAAATACTGACATAACAAGTTAAATGTATTTTTTTTAAGTGCTATGTATATAATCTTCCACATTCCTATTGGCTACTTCAGATCTGAGATGCTGGCTCCCTCCCCGGCACTCTCCTCTAAGCAGGCTCTTCAGCATAGCATAGCATCTCAAAGGCCAAACCTTCTTGTCCAAGGTGAAAGTGGTCAGGGTTCAATTCTTCTTTAGAAAATGCTGTGCTGGGTCGCATTGGATGGCCTTGTAAGATCCGACCAGATCACTTTTGGACAAAAAGAGGAGTCAAAGAGAACTTGGGTTTCCAGAGAAAAATAAAGTGCTGCCCCCTACAAATCACAGTCTCTGTAGAATAAGGTGTCTTCCTAAAGAGGTAGAGATAATAGGGGGTATATGTTGCAGGTGCCCATATTTCAATAATACTGAACACTGTATCTTTAAAGATTGCATCTTTAAGGACTTAAAATGGATTGACTCCACTCATCTCTCTGATTTTTTCATAAGTAAGCCAGAACACCAGTGACCAAGGGGTCTGAAAGATTAACCAAAGAAGTTAGTGCATATTTCAAAGCAATTATAAATATTCTACATATCTGCATATATATCTTTGAATGACAAAGTCATTTTGAATCCACTTAGGCTGAAAATAAATATCTTGGTGCCTTATCTTCGTAAAGCACTTTATAATTTACAGAGCATTATCAAGTCTTTATTTAGCACAGATTTCTCTAAACAGCTTACAATAGAAAGGAAAGGCATTGATATCTCTATTTTTCAGATGAGGACACTAAGGCTTAGCAGTCAAATGCCTATTAGCATGTTATAGAGGTAGACCACAAGCTTCTGTTTTCTATTCCCAGACTTCTTTTTACTGAATTATTACTGTCTAAAGGACGAGGGCTCAGTGCTTAAATTCTCAGCTGGGAATCTCTACATGTAGTTTGTATATGGAGCATGACAACAAGAAACATAAGAACTAGAATATGAAGAAGATGAAATACCCTTTGAGAGTTAGGTCATAAAACCAATACCTGATGTCACATAACATTTATATTAAAATTCACATTAAAAAGGGAAAAGAGCTTTCAGTTCACAAAGGCTCGACTTCAATTTGAGTGAAGGTATAACTATATCTAAAGAAATGACAAAAGGATAAGGGCGAGAAGAGGATATAAATACTAAAGATATAAATACTAAAGACACTGAGGAAAGTATCAGGGTAAACACTGGAACAGAGATAGAATGCTTTGGATTGAGTAATCCCTGTCTTGTTTAGTTCTGACCATTACTGACTGGAGAAGCACTCTATCATACTACAGCTTAAGCAATTAGAATGTAAAATGTACTTGGTTAGTTTGGAAAGAAATATTTATATCATATGTGTTTTAAAATATTGAGCATGTTATTATTAGTAAACTGAGAATTCACTAAATAGTGGATTTAGGAAAATATATTTTAGTTACTTAAAGGTATGAAGACACAGACAAAATTAAAAATGTAAAGCTATGAAGATACCATATTCTTGTAACATCAAAGCCAAGCATATAACTGCAGTTGGATCAAGAAGGTAAAGGTCTTAGTTAAGAATGGCCTATGTAATCATTCCTAATTGTTATGGGAATCAGTCTACTTCCTCATGACATCATAGCAACATAGACAAATGAAATGAAATAAATATCAATCAGGGACTTAGCAAAGCAAGGTCATACTACCTCTACCTACTGGAGGGGATCAGGATAGAGTTGAGCTGGGTTTTGAATAAAGTTGAAGAGAGGGAGATCATATAGCCAAAGATGTGGGTAGTAGATGGCTGAGACTTACTGAGTCTCTATACAGGAGTGCACATGGGCACTACATTTACTTATTGATTTTCTCACTGACAGAGTTGCAAACACTGTAAATAACCCAAGTGTATATGAACTCATGTTTCTTCCTCTGGTCTGTCTTCTGCCATAAAGGCTGGGAAAAAAGCAGAAGCAAAATCCTTTTTCATGCTTGTTACTGAGGAGGTGAACAAATAAGAGTTTTCTTGAACTGATGGTCTGAAATAACAAGTTTTCAACTAAGCTATTGTTGTGATTCTGTGTTGAGCAAGAAACCTTCTGATTATTGAAATCTGATTATTGAAATCTTCTGATTATCACACGAATCCTCATAGACCTTGAATTTAAGAGAAAACATGATGGCCAAAGGACTTCAGCACCTGGATCACTTGCCAGATGTGTTGTGTAATGTGAATGAGTCAGATATTCTGGCCTGATCATCAGTTTCAATGAGGTCACTTGAGCTGAATCTGTATTTTCAAGTCCAATTTCTTTGAAAGTGCCCTTGAGTTAGATTTCTAAACTCAATGTCATGCACTGAGCCAAATAAACAAGGCAACTCTCCTGGTGATCTTTGGTGGCTAGCCAGCCTTTCTTTGGTAATACCCCACCATCACTACAAATTGTCTCTTTCCTTTCAAAATTTTTGTAACTAACTGCAGAATGTTGAGCAACTCAGTATATTTTATTAGTAAGGAGCATGGGTTTTGAAAGTAACAGACTCAATTTCCAACTCTGACACATACTAGTTATATGAACTTGGGCAAGTTTCTTATACGTTGAGCTATGGTTTTCTCATCTGAAAAATGAGGATAACATTCCATGTTTTACTAGGTTCTTACAGGGCTTAAAAGTAATTAAAGTATGTAGAGCTTTGCACATATTGAATACTCTTTTTTATCATTTATACTTCAAGTCTCATGCATAAAGAGAACGGGCCATAAGTGGTCTCATCCTTTGAAATTGGATATTCTCACTGCCCCTCATCCCTCCTGTCTCTGATTTTTATACTTCTGCAATAGTCTCACCCATCTTTCTAGTTTCCCACACTAGAAGCATACAAGACCCATTTTCTTTCTTTCTGTCCCTCACCTTCTATACATAACTAGCTATTAAGTCCTATGGAGTCAACCATAAATGTCCCTAAAATTTATCTTCTCTCCATTTCTACAATCATCTACTGGCTAGACCATTGCTAAAATTCCTTTCTTGAATTCTTGTTTTCAATGCATCTTCTATACTGCTTCTAAAGTAATCTTGCCACCAAGCAAATCTAATCACACAGCTCCTGGGCTTAAGCAGGTGCTTGCTGACTATACAGTTGCAACTAAACTACTATGTTTGACCCACAAAGTCCTTCCCAACCTAATCCTTAAGTTCTTCTCTAGCCTTATCTACTACCCTCTCCCCTCTGGGGACCTATTCTCTAGCCACAATGAATTTTCTGCAGTTTTTCAAACATAACTGGCCTATACACTGCATGATACCTGTGCTCATGTTGCTTCCTCATATTTCTCTCCACCAACCCCTACTGATGCTCCAAAGCTCAGATTGAATATTGGCTCTGTGAAGCCTTTGGTGACTTTCCACACACAGTTACAGTCATTTTTACTCCATTGAGTTCCCACAGGGTATTGTTCATACCTCTGGCAGAGCTTAATACAACCTCCTTAAGAGGTCTGGGTCCTATGGTATCAGGCTTCCTGGGTTTGATGCCCATCAGTTAATAACCACCTGACTCGGCAAGTTATTTTGATTCTTTACACTCTTGTTACCTCCTCTGTAAAAGATGGATAGGATAGTAATCTACTGCCCAGATTTTTGGGAGAATTCAATGAGTTAAGCCATAAAAATTAGTAGCACTTTCTTGGCCATATACCAACTGATTTAGTAGTATCTATTTATGTATTTAAAAAATGTTAAGCCTTTCCATTCCAGGATTTAAAAAAATTTTTTTTTGAGTTGGAGTCTCACTGTCACCCAGACTGGAGTGCAGTGGCATGCTCCCGGCCACCGCAGCCTCAACCTGCTGGACTCCG